GCACTGTACTTTATATACCCACCACCGGGGAACTATTCAGTACTCTGTACACCCCGAACCGGGAGACTATTACTCCGCACTGTACTTTATATACCCACCACCGGGAGACTATTACTCCGCACTGTACCTTATATACCCACCACCGGGAGACTATTACTCCGCACTGTACCTTATATACCCACCACCGGGAGACTATTACTCCGCACTGTACCTTATATACCCATGTAAAATACTCCACTGGGGAACTACTACTACTCAGTACTTTATATACCCACCACCACCGGGGGAACTACTCAGTACCCTGTACTTTATATACCCACCACCACCTGGAGACTATTACTCCTCACTGTACTTTATATACCCACCACCGGGGAACTACTCAGTACTCTGTACACCCCAAACCGGGGAACTACTCAGTACACCCCAAACCGGGGGAACTACTACTACTCAGTACTCTGTACACCCCGAACCGGGAGACTATTATGACGCACTGTACTTTATATACCCACCACTGGGGAACTACTACTACTCAGTACTTTATATACCCACCACCACCGGGGGAACTACTACTCCGCACTGTACTTTATATACCCACCACCGGGGAACTACTACTACTCAGTACTTTATATACCCACCACCACCGGGGGAACTACTACTCCGCACTGTACTTTATATACCCACCACCGGGGAACTACTCAGTACTCTGTACACCCCGAACCGGGTGACTATTACTCCGCACTGTACTTTATATACCCACCACCGGGGAACTATTCAGTACTCTGTACACCCCGAACCGGGAGACTATTACTCCGCACTGTACCTTATATACCCACCACCGGGAGACTATTACTCCGCACTGTACCTTATATACCCATGTAAAATACTCCACTGGGGAACTACTACTACTCAGTACTTTATATACCCACCACCACCGGGGGAACTACTCAGTACCCTGTACTTTATATACCCACCACCACCTGGAGACTATTACTCCTCACTGTACTTTATATACCCACCACCGGGGAACTACTCAGTACTCTGTACACCCCAAACCGGGGAACTACTCAGTACACCCCAAACCGGGGGAACTACTACTACTCAGTACTCTGTACACCCCGAACCGGGAGACTATTATGACGCACTGTACTTTATATACCCACCACTGGGGAACTACTACTACTCAGTACTTTATATACCCACCACCACCGGGGGAACTACTACTCCGCACTGTACTTTATATACCCACCACCGGGAGACTATTACTCTGCACTGTACCTTATATACCCACCACTGGGGAACTACTACTACTCAGTACTTTATATACCCACCACCACCGGGGGAACTACTACTCTGCACTGTACTTTATATACCCACCACCGGGAAACTACTCAGTACTCTGTACACCCCAAACCGGGGAACTACTACTACTCAGTATTCTGTACACCCCGAACCGGGAGACTATTACTCCGCACTGTAGTTTATATACCCACCACCGGGGAACTACTACTACTACTCAGTACACCCCGATCCGGGTGACTATTACTCTGCACTGTACTTTATATACCCACCACCGCCGGGGAACTACTACTCCTTACTCTGTATACCTATCACCACCAACTACTCTGCACTGTACTTATAGACCCACCACTGGGGAACTACTACTACTCATTACTCTGTACACCCCGAACCAGGGAACTACTACTACTCATTACTCTGTACACCCCGAACCAGGGAACTACTACTACTCAGTACCCTGTACACCCCGAACTGGGGAACTACTACTACTCAGTACTCTGTACACCCCGAACCGGGGAACTACTACTACTCAGTACCCTGTACACCCCGAACTGGGGAACTACTACTACTCAGTACTCTGTACACCCCGAACTTGGGAACTACTACTACTCAGTACTCTGTAAACCCTGAACCGGGGGAACTACTACTACTACTACTCAGTACTCTGTGCACCAGAACCGGGGAACTACTACTACTCAGTATCCTGCACACCCCCAACCGGGCAACTCAATACTCTGTACACCTATCACCACCACTGGAGAGCTACTACTACTCAGTACTATATATACCCACCACCACCAACTACTCTGCACTTTATTTTATATACCCACCACCACCGGGGATCTACTGTTCCTTACTCTGTACACCCCGAACCGGGTCACTACTTGTTACGCTGTACACCTACCACCACCAGGCTACTTTTACTTTGCACTGAAATCTATAGTCCATCTGCCAGGAAAGTGCTAATGTTGTCTCTGTACACCTACCACCAACCAGTTACTGCTCTGCACTGTACTCTATAGACCAACCAACCTACTACCACCTATAGACCAACCACCAGGTAACCACTGCTCATTACTCCGTACACCTACTACCACCTATAGACCCACCACCAGGTAACCACTGCTCATTACTCTGTACACCTACTACCACCTATAGAGCCACCACCAGGTAACCACTGCTCATTACTCTGTACACCTACTATCACCTATAGACCCACCACCAGGTAACCACTGCTCATTACTCCATACACCTACTACCACCTATAGACCCACCACCAGGTAACCACTGCTCATTACTCTGTACACCTGTACACCTACTACCACCTATAGACCCACCACCAGACAAGCACTGCTCATTACTCTGTACACCTACTACCACCTATAGACCCCCCACCAGGTAACCACTGCTCATTACTCTGTACACCTCCTACCACCTATAGACCCCCCACCAGGTAACCACTGCTCATTACTCTGTACACCTCCTACCACCTATAGACCCCCCACCAGGTAACCACTGCTCATTACTCTGTACACCTCCTACCACCTATAGACCCCCCACCAGGTAACCACTGCTCATTACTCTGTACACCTCCTACCACCTATAGACCCCCCACCAGGTAACCACTGCTCATTACTCTGTACACCTCCTACCACCTATAGACCCCCCACCAGGTAACCACTGCTCATTACTCTGTACACCTCCTACCACCTATAGACCCCCCACCAGGTAACCACTGCTCATTACTCTGTACACCTCCTACCACCTATAGACCCCCCACCAGGTAACCACTGCTCATTACTCTGTACACCTCCTACCACCTATAGACCCCCCACCAGGTAACCACTGCTCATTACTCTGTACACCTCCTACCACCTATAGACCCCCCACCAGGTAACCACTGCTCATTACTCTGTACACCTCCTACCACCTATAGACCCCCCACCAGGTAACCACTGCTCATTACTCTGTACACCTCCTACCACCTATAGACCCCCCACCAGGTAACCACTGCTCATTACTCTGTACACCTCCTACCACCTATAGACCCCCCACCAGGTAACCACTGCTCATTACTCTGTACACCTCCTACCACCTATAGACCCCCCACCAGGTAACCACTGCTCATTACTCTGTACACCTCCTACCACCTATAGACCCCCCACCAGGTAACCACTGCTCATTACTCTGTACACCTACTACCACCTATAGACCCACCACCAGGTAACCACTGCTTATTACTCCGTACACCTACTACCACATATAGACCCTCCACCAGGTAACCACTGCTCATTACTCTGTACACTGACAAGCACCAGGTAACTTTAACTCTGCTCTATACTTTAGACTGACAACACGGAAGCTGCTGCTCATTACTCTATGCATGCATTCACCACAAGGTAGAAATGCTGTGCTCTGTACTCCATACACTCAGCACTGGGTAACTAATACTCTCTACACCAGTACTAAATGTTGTGCACTGTGGTGTGTATACTTATCAACGGGTAACTAAGTGACCCTGAACCGTGTACAGAGACTGACTCCATACACCAGATTACTCAGCTGCTCTTGTATTTGCTTTTGCTAATGATGTACTGTACATTTAATAGTAGCTAACTACTCATCTCCTCAGCCTGATAACTGAGTAGTGTGCTATGTACTGTCACTTTATACATTTAGTATACCCTGTATTGCATATTGTCCATCCCCAAATGACTGATCTTCTCTTTACTACATACTTTAATTTACTTTAGACTGTCATAACTAAGTAACTCGGTTGCTGAGAAGCATATACAATTGCTTTATACTGTACAGTCACTGCCAAGTGACTCAGCTACTCAGCCTGTGCTACCCCTTCTGTGTCTCCAGTCTGTGAATGTCTCCTATAGCATGTCCACAATCTCTGGCCTTCTCTTATAGCATTCCTTAGTCTCTGACCATCTTCTGTAGTAGGTCCACAATCTCTGGCCTTCTCTTATAGCATGCCTTAGTCTCTGACCATCTTCTGTAGTAGGTCCACAATCTCTGGCCTTCTCCTATAGCATGCCTTAGTCTCTGACCATCTTCTGTAGTAGGTCCACAATCTCTGGCCTTCTCCAATAGCATGCCTTAGTCTCTGACCATCTTCTGTAGTAGGCCCACAATCTCTGGCCATCTCTTATAGCATTCCTTAGTCCCTGACCATCTTTTGTAGTAGGTCCACAATCTCTGGCCTTCTCTTATAGCATGCCTTAGTCTCTGACCATCTTGTGTAGTAGGCCCACAATCTCTGGCCTTCTCTTATAGCATTCCTTAGTCTCTGACCATCTTCTGTAGTAGGTCCACAATCTCTGGCCTTCTCCTATAGCATGCCTTAGTCTCTGACCATCTTCTGTAGTAGGTCCACAATCTCTGGCCATCCCTTATAGCATTCCTTAGTCCCTGACCATCTTTTGTAGTAGGTCCACAATCTCTGGCCTTCTCTCATAGCATTCCTTAGTCTCTGACCATCTTCTGTAGTAGGCCCACAATCTCTGGCCATCTCATTCCTTAATCTCTGACCATCTTTTGTAGTAGGCCCACAATCTCTGGCCTTCTCTTATAGCATGCCTTAGTCTCTGACCATCTTGTGTAGTAGGCCCACAATCTCTGGCCTTCTCTTATAGCATTCCTTAGTCTCTGACAATCTTCTGCAGTTGGTCCACAGTCTCTGTGCTTCTTGAGTTAACATTTTCTGATTGAATAGTTATAAATAGCAGACAATTGTAGACGTATTTGCGTTTTTACTTCTCTGGGTTTTTTTCCGTACTTTTCTTTTTCGTATTTGCTTAAAGCCCATCCCCGGTGCAAGGTGCAGAGAATACGTAGGTAGATGCAAAGGAATTCCTGCAGTCCAAGAAAAAAAAAAAAAACTTTATGTAATTATAGACGCGGAGAAGGGGAAGGGAAAGTATTGTCCCCGGTAACCGATCAGATGCGTGTACCAAACGTGTAGAAAAAATTGGTTGGAATTTGGATGCTGTGGACAACGATGGTTTAAAGATGATCTCTGGGCGTAGAGTCCTCCCATCAACTATTCGTCATGGTGGTTTAACAAAGATTCGAATCAAAAGCCTCTTTTAGGTACCCAAATCCATAGTCACGTGACGTGCCAGGTTCTGAGTCTTCTGTCTTCCTCATTGTAGAGTGGGACGGTTGTTCTTTGGGTACCAACGTCTCGTCCTGGGTTGACGTGAACACTTCCTATTAGTTGTTCAGAGGCTGGGTCCTCTCAGGTCTATAAGACTGCAGTGGCTTGATGACATCATGACAAGGATGATGGATAGGGAACTCCGAAAAAATAGTGGGAGGGGAAAAATGAGGACCAAAGTCCCAGGAGAGAACCGACTAGGTGCAGTGGATTTAAATGAAGAATCGAGGTAGAGCAAGTAGGTAATATAGTTGATACCCGGTACCCACTTGGATATGGTTGCAGGGCTTCCTATTAGAGATATCGGGCAACCAGATGATCGAAGGTATGTGGGGAATATTTCTGTCCTCATGCAGATGGTCGCATCCTGCTCGTCAGGGAGTATTTGGGATGATTTGGAGGCTTGGTGGACCCGATATGGTTGGATAGAATCATGACAAGGAGACTGGTTGGGTTGAGCTCAGTCTACAGCATTGAATCACCAATCTCCGCTCTTGAAAGGGGTCCCAGCGAGGGACACGTGAGGGGTGAATAAAGTAACGTTTTATTTAAAAAAGATGGTAAAGGGGGGGGGGGTCAAACTTTGCCCAGTAATGGGCTTCAATATTATCAGCCTCCCGGTATCTTAGGGAAATGCAGAATTCCCTCTACCTCTGATGAATGTAAACTGGATGACTTATAGCGTACTAAAGCGCTATATATCATAAAAAAATGCTTCTTTTACATAAAATGCTCCTTTCACCTCCTTTTTTGTTGCCTTTTGAACCTCATTGCTGCTGATCTCCTCTATCCTGTCTCAGCCACTTCCTATCTACTTGTGCTCGCTTCAGCATCAGCCACACATCCATGGCCTAGACCGGCCTCCTGATGTTGACAATGGTGGACCATACCTGAGTAATGTATGTCAGCATGTCTCCTCCAGGGGCTCATTTGAGAGGGTGACAACCCAGGAGCACAGCTGGGAGACAGTTGTCACCCCAATGCCTGTACAAAGACCTTCATGGCATGATCACCATGGATTATTTGAACAAAAGCTGCATTTTTTAAAAGTTTGGCCCTCAGCATGTTAAAGGTTATATGAGATTTTAGTAGTTGGGTTTAGATTTACTTTAAAGTGGAATGAGGTTGTGATATCACAAAGCTATCTTTTCCTGAATTTACGGAAATCTTATAATGGACAATGTATGAAGGATAGCGTTGACCCTATCGGCCAATCAACTCATCCCTTTTATTTTCTGCTCTGCTAATATAAACATGGAATAGAGATGCCTATTGGTTACTTCAGGCAGCACATACATGTTAAATCAGGAGGCACAATATGGCGTAACACACTTTGCGTGTGCGTTTTTCTTCTGATGGGTATCCGTGAAACATTTTTGAAGGAACCGGAATGCAACTTTTGACTTTGCATTGGACTGTATGCAGACTTGTTTCAATTTGATTCCTTTTGTCATCAGTCAGCTTGGTATGATTGATGGCTTAATCTGAGACAAATGATTTCTGGTCTTTCAGCGCAGCAAATGGGAAAACCACAGAAAAACTTCCTCTTTCAGGCGTACTTGTGACCTAATTAGTAATTGGCTCGTTCGAAAAGATCGCCATCTGTTCCTTATTATTTTCACAAGACTATCTGGGAAGATGTTGGAAGCACTGACAGCCGTCACCTACAGCTGCAAGTCAGGCCTTTACAACCTGCGCCCTCCAGCTGCTGTTGGACTAACTCCCACCATCCCCTGGCTGCTGTGCATAATGGGCTTTGTAGTATCACAGCAGCTATTTTCACTCCTGGAAGGTGTCCTCCATAAGTCTCATGACTGTGGTTCCTTCCGCATCGTGATTTCTTCATTTCCTATTTCTTGTCTCCTTCCATGACTTTGGTCACCTTGTAGAAACCACTTTGTGATATGTTTGTCTTCACCTCACTTGCTTCTTCTCAGGTACGGGATT